AACTTGTAACAAGATTCCATGACAAGGCCGATGAAAACCAGCTGGCCAGAGTCCAGGAGGAGCTCAGTGTGTACGCTGCGTGCATGTGGGTGAAGTGTGCAAGGGCTTCTCTACTATGTACCTTGCTATTTTAGTTGCTGCTTTTGGCCTACTACTGGAAAATCTTTCTGGTAACAAGGAACTACAAGACAAATTTTGGTAACTATCTGATTACTAAGTTAACATCTCTGCTTACAATGGCTGGAAAAATCGTCTTGATCAGTGACGTGTACTCTAACTAGTTGTGCTGGAATTGAGAAATGTACTAAAGGGAGAATTATATTCATAGACCTATGCAAATGTTGTACTTTATACTGTGGCCCTTCTGTGGTGATTGTGCCCACCAGGGACAAAGACCCTGAGAGAAAAGGGAAGAAGCTTGCTAACTTTCCCCCTGACCCCCAAGAACTACGATAGTGCTAGCCCTCAGATCAGTATGGACTGCAAGATATTTAGTAAGTCAAAACTCAGTCCTGATAAGACCACTATTTGTGACGAGCATTCGTGGTTATCTTTTTGGGAACTATCATTGTATCTCCCCTGATCTTCTTGCCCGACTAACAAGATTCTGAGGGTACAGCTGGTCTGAGGATACAGCAACATTAATCAAATCTCTGGAGTCCATAATGATTTCAAAGGGCAAGGATTTCAAATGCACACACACTTGCTGCTGTGCCTTTCTTGGACACAACACGCATGCAGCTTTTGAAACATCCTACTAGAGTCCCTTTAACGCATCATGCGCGGGGCTATCCTGAACACAGTTCAGAAACTTAAGTCAGTACAAAATGCCACAGCTAAATGACCAAAGACAGAAGAGCGTATCTTATTTGTCCTCAGACAATTCCCCTCTTAATTCATGACACTGATTTTAACTTCTGAATTCCTAAACCACTTGGGAGACAGACAGTGTGGTTCTCGTATGAACCACAGGGAGAGGTATCTCTTATCTCTTATCTTATCAGAGGCAGCTCTGCAAAGTGGCCTCGATTATCTTATTCGTTAGCTAGCGACTGCAAGGAAACTTTATTACAAATTGGTGGTTTTATGCATGTGAGTGACTGTGTTGTTGTTGTTGTTCAGCTGTTAAGTCGTGTCCGACTCTTCGTGACCCCACGACTCTAAGATACCCAGCTCCAGGGGTGAAATTTTCATTCTGTTTGTTCATATGCATAATTCATCTCAGTTCAGAGACCCCAGTGGGGCCACTAGCAGAAATGCTGGCCACTTACCTTTAGCGCCAAGGCGATGGTCATGATGGTTGCGCAGCCTGCCATGCCTCCTAAGCCGATTAAATGGAGGGTCCGACGTCCTGCCCGCTCCACAAGGAAGAGCTGCACAATGGGAAGAAGAGACACACGCGGTTGCTGTGGCAGCAAGATCCCTTTGCTTTACGGCAACCCACCTGTCTGAGGAGACCCGGCGGCCAGGGAACGGTATAAAAAGTCTCCATGAAATGTGCAATTTGATCCCACTATTGTGACCACCATCCTTGACTTTCTTTTACTGTACCCTGTGGAATCCCCTCTCAACACACAAAGGCCCAATTCAGCCACCACGTGAGTGACCTGGTTTAGAGGCAACAAACACAAATGCATTCAACGGGCCTTAGCAGACACGAGAGCTTACAATATCCCTCCTTAAGTCCGTTCCTTTTTTGCATTTCAGAGCATCCTAGATGACACCCGCTGGGAATCCACCTCCTAACTGATCAAAATTCCTTCCCCCGCCTCTCTCCTGGCCATTTAATTGTCACCACAGAGAAGGTGCCGCAGCATTTAATCACCAAAGTAAGTTGCAGCCCTTGTAAAAGAAGATCACACACTAGAACAAGGACCCATTCATGATAAAGGCAGATGTAATCCAGGCGGAGGAGGAGGAGGAGGAGGAGGAGGAGGAGGAGGAGGAGGAGGAGGATCATCTCCTATCTAAAGTTTTAGGGCAGTTAAGTTTGCAGCCCTTGACTTTAAGTTGGTGTGGCTCAGTGAGGGGGGCCCAGGAGCAGGGGGACCCTCTGGCTCCAGGGGACCATCTCCTCTTCTCACGCGAAGGGAGCACAACCCCTCCAGGCTGCCAAGTCCTCCCGCCGCAGCCCCCAAACACATGGCAACCCTATCATCTTTTACTACCTACCGACACCACAGTAAAGACGGTATTGACCACGCCGGCCCCAATGGTGGCATAAACCGGTTCCTCCACTCCGGCATCTCTGAAAATCTCAGTGGAATAATAAAATACCTGGAAGAAGACCAAGAGTTTAAAGCGGGGCTTGGAACAGGGAAGAAAACCATGCCCGCTTTGAGCATCACTGGCAGGAGATACCACCTGCCTCAGGAGGCGAAGACCCCACCCCACCTCGCCAGCCCCCTTCCCTGTTCTGGGGATGCTGCCAGAGGAGGAGCAGCCCTGTGCTCCCAGTGGGGAGGGGGCACACGCAGACAGTGCCCTGCCCTTGATGGAGGACCCCCGCGGGACTCGAGGATGGGGAAGGCAGGGCAGCAGAGACCCGACTGCAAGCGGGCAAAGCCCTGCCCTCCTCCAAGGCCAGGATTTGGGGAAAAGACCAGAATTCTGCTCTGTTTTCAAAAAATAGGCAGGCATCGAAGAGTAACGGAAGATAACTCGACCCTCACGAAGCTGCGTGTTGCAGCGGCCTTAAAGCAGGACAATCTGTGTCTGTGTTTTCACACAGCCGCCCCGTCACGCCCATCGACCTCCAGGATTGTTTGGAGCAAAACAGGAGGTGGAAAGTGGGGATGTTCCCCAGTTTTTGTGGGGAAAAGTGGGAGAAAAAGTAATAAATGAGCCAGACGTGCACGGGGGAGAAGGGGGCCCAGGAGAGGTGGGCTGCCTCTGGGCCTTTAACGGGGGCTCGACTGGCATGAGAAACGCTTGCGGCCGAGAGACACGGCGCGTCACGCTGCTGCCTTCGCCCCGGGCGGCTGCAGAGCATTCAGTGACAGTTCAGGGTTGCTGCAGAAAGGGCAGCCCCAGGAGGACAGGGGAGTGAGGGGGGCCCTCTCACACCCCACTGCCGCTTTGAGAGCGCTACTTCTTTAAGACAAAAACCACAAAGCGTTCACAAGGTCAAAAAAGTCAAGATGGCAGCTGCGGCTGCGCAGCTGAATCCCTGCCCCTTTTTACGTGTCACACACGTGATCCGTGCAGCAGGGGGGCAGGGCTTCAACCTCACGGTCGCAACAGCCTCCCCGGCCTTTTGGGGTCCCCACTGTCCTCAGCACCCTCCTGCCTTCGCTCTGACCCAGCTCCCCTCCCCTTCTCGGGGAGCTTGTCCGGCCCCCCGCCACAGACACCTGCTTCCCCCCGTCCCGTCATGAGACCCCTGAGGGGCCCGGAGACCGGCCCTCGGGACCTACCGCGTTGATGCCTGAGAGCTGCTGCGAGAGTTGCAAGGCGATGGCGATGATGATGGGCTGGCGGTAGTTGGGGGAGCGGAAGAGTTCTAGGATGGTCACTTTCTTCTCCTGGGACATCTTGGCGCTCTCCTCCTTCATCTCCTGGATGTCGCTGGACACATCCTGGACGCCGCGCAGCTTCTGGAGCACTGTGGGGAGAGCCCGAGGGGCTGAGTTAGACGTAGGGCGCCATCGCTTTGGAGGGCTCCAATCAGCTCTACGCCAAACGTATTTGTAGAAAAAAAGTCATCTCTTCCTAGCTACTCATCCTGCTCGGGTAAGTGCATAAGTAGAAAGACTCAACAGAAGCCCCGTTCGCTAACACTGGAGGTGACTAATGGCAAGCATTTGATCTTCCCTGGGTGGGACGGGGGGGGGGCTTCTCCACCTACGCGGCCTCCGCGTTGCACAAAATGCCAGAGCTACAGAACAAACGAAGAATTGCGCCCGCTGCCTGAGGACAGGGGAGCGAGGAAAGATGGAGATCCACATTTGGAAACAACAGGGAAACTTCCTGCCGTGATCCACCTGATCCACCTGTACGCTGGAACAGCAGTGAAGTATATGAATATTCCGTTGTCCTTCTCTCAACAAGAAAGAAAATACAACCGAGGGTGTTGAAGCCTGCTTGCTCCTTCGGGAAATGCTCCTCCTAGTAGGCGTCATTTTGTCAGAATCTTCATTTTTAGTGATCTTTAACTTACTGCTAAATTGCTTTTTGGGTTAGTACCTCCCTGGTAAGCTCGTTTGCTGAAGTACAGATGCCACCGTGCAGCTCTACCACGCGGCTGCAGAATGAATACCTGCGACAGCCTTCTCTTCCTCCATCTTGTTGATCAGCAGGAAGCGGGGGCTCTTGGGGCAAAAGGGGAGGGCCACGCACTGCAGGAGGGCTGGGACCACGGTGAATCCCAGCAAGAGCGGCCAGAGCGTTTCGGTGCCCATGATGACATTCAGACCAAAGATCTAATTGGGGGCAAGCAAAGAGAAACACGAGCGTCAGGCACCGTTCCCCAAAACTGAACTTTGGGGAGGAAGGAAGTCATCTAGGCACGGCTTCCTCTTAACGTCTGGAGAACCGTAACTTCCTTAGGGCCGCTGCTTCTCTTCAGAGATCCCCGGCCTTCCGCAGACAGCAGCATGCCAGAGCAGTCTCCACAGGACCACGGCTACACCCTCCCCCCAGGTCCCATGGCGTCAATTCAGTTGAGGAACCCTCTACTGCTCAGCGGAACAACTCCCACAGCAGTTTATGGAGCACCGGTCCCTGCCTGCGGGTGGAGAATCTCCTCCCCAGAGAGCCAAAAGGCCAGGCCACCTTTCGTGGACCAGCCCAGGACTCTCTCCCCCTCAAAGACTGAGTAACCACTCTGGGACAATGCCTCACTTACCTGGGCCACCAGGATGCCCACCACAATGCCCAGCTGGTGCAGGGTGCCAAAAGCCCCACGCAAGGCAGTAGGGGAGACTTCACTGATATACATGGGCACAAAGCCAGTGCAGAGGCCACAGAAGACACCAATGACGAAGCGCCCAATAATCATCATCTCCACCGCGTTGGCCAGCCTGGACAAGCCCATCAAGACGCCACCCACAATGGCCAGAACGTTCACCAGCAGCATTGAATTCCGCCTGCACAGGGAAAAAAGGTCCGAGAGAGAGAGAGAGAGAGAGAATTGAAAGGAGCGTTAGAAAAGATCCGACAGGAGAGGGTGAGCGCTCTGTGGCTCGAGCACAACAGACGGATGCAGGAGGCTGCAACCTCCCAGGGCTTCGCCCCGCCCTCCTTAACCTCTGGGATAGCGATTCTTTGCCAGTCATTGCAAGGAGGCGTCCACAGAAGCCCACCTTGCTGGACTCGCGTCTCTCCTTGGCATCGGTGCCTGTAGTAAGACCCCAACATGCCGCCTGAAATAATGGCCTTCTTCCATCTCTTGAGAGGGCCCTTTGGGGGTCTTCACCACAGGCATTTCCCTGGCAGGGCTCAACAACCAGCTTAATCTCAATGCCCCTTTCAGACAGGAACCCCTCACCCATTTTCTCTCATGCCCTTCCTATGCTTTAGAAAGCTGGCATTCCTCACTGACCTGCCAAATCGGTTGACAAATAATCCAACTGAGAAAGAGCCGATCATCCCTCCAACTGAGAAGATGGAAACCGAAAGGGACCATAGTGTGGTCAGGAGATTATCTGAGATGGGGTGTCCCGTCCGGCTTATCCATGTGTCATTGAAAAAGCCCCTGATAATCTGCAAGGACAGAAAAGGAAACCCAGAGTTTTTGAATTAGGAGAAGATAACAAAACGTGGGAAAGTCAAGAAAGAGTGCGGTAAAATAATCAGGATGGCCAGAGAAGAGGAAAACAACCAGGACAATATTGGAGGTATTACAAGTTCACATGATCAACGCAGACACCCAACAGATCTGATCAACCTGCTACGTGACCATACCCTGCAGAAGAACCCTTACACCAAGCCAAGGGGCATCTGCTGGAAACTCTTCGTTATTAGGCCTGTGGTTGTGTTCACACAAGCTTCCCGGGGGTGTTTGGCTGCTTGTCATCCTCACTCCCCCTTTTCTGAAGTTCACAATACTCCTCCACCAAAGAGCAGCGTGACATCCGGGGCGAGTGGTGGCAGCCTGGGTGAGCCAAGAAGGCAGAGCCCCTTTGCCCTTAGGTACTCTGGTGGTCCTCAGCAGCTACAGCCAACGTAGCAAAGAGGAATTCGCTAACTTTGCTCTTGACTAGCAAAGCCTTCCTGAAGGCCTATGGACGTTTCCCTTTTCCACATGACAGGTTAAGGGGGCAGCCCCAATGGTGCAGCGGAGCAGGCTTTCAAGTAGACATGGCTATGACTGCGTGACAATATTACATCTCAATACTTGTCACTTAAAATGCTCCCGAGAGGCTACGTGACAAAACAAAACAAAAATAAAAACAGAAGTTGCATCCATCCAACTGTAGATCTGGATCTACTTGAGCTGAGCAGAAGTGTTCCTTGCCAACACAGTGTCCTCTATGACTTGGACTGAAACAATATGCTGGGGATGTGCTGATGAAGATTCTCAGTCATCCGGGTGGAATCGTCTGGAGGTCGAGCCACGGCAACTGGACTCCTCTTCTTTTCGGTCGGAGACTTCTCGCTACCTGTCCAAGCAGCTTCTTCAGTCTAAAAAAGTTGGTTAGGGGGACCCCATAAAA